GAAAGGGTTTTTGAGATCTGTTTACAGACACGAACACAGAGGCATTTTGAGAGGAAGCAGAGCACATTGCCAATAAAGCGGTTTGTCCGTTTCCGGGGAAGTGAACAAATGACTTAAATAAAGTAACAAACAAATAGTCACAACAAAAATAAACTAAAAACACATTTTTTTTTGGACCAAACATTTTGCTACTTTTCTTTTGTGTGTTCTTGTTCGGAATCTAGAGTTTGAAAAACAAATTCGAATCTTTTTGTACTCGGCGAAAGTTCCAAAACAAAGAAAAAAATGATAGTAAGAATTATGTTAGCCTTTGCGACCAACAATAAAAACCTACTAATTGTTTTAGATTTCTTATTTGTTTATATTTAACTTGTAAGATTATAACCAATGAGCTACCTTAATTTTTGCATATTCATTTCAGCTAAAAAATACTTATTTTGACAATGTTTAAGTTTTAAAAGTAAAATATTAGACACCAAATTTACGATAATTATGTATAATTGGTCGAGAGAAAAAAACAAGGACGCATGATGAATATGGTGAATTACTTTATGAAAATGTTAGTAGGATCACCAAATTAATTGATTTGGCAAAAAAAGGTAAGAAAATCAGAAAATGGTTGAGAACAAAAAAAAAACTCAAAATGATGGAAAACAAGATGTTCTTAAACAAGAAAACAAGACGATATAATATCATGGTACGATGGTCAATGTTACTGTCACGTGACATTAGCACGTTTAGTGATGATGATTAGGTTATTCAACTTGGGGGTTTGTTAATTATACTACATCGTAATGAAATTAGATTAAAGTTAAACCACGATTATCTCTTTTACTAATAACGACAATTATCGTCTTTTATGGGACCCAAAAATACATATTAACAAATGTAGTGGTGCAACCCATTTAGGCATTTACATACGCAAAAATCAATAACCCGAAACATATAAAAAGTGATTACTGAAAAATATAAGATAGCTAATCAAGTAATTGTATTCCAATCATTTCGATCAGACGATCAATGACTCTGGGGTTTGACAGTAATAAAAATATGAGACTATTTTGAATTTAGACTGATAACATTTACTATCAATAATTGAACGTACATCAATTATTGACTAAATTAACTATTGTTAATTCTGTAGAGTGACTTGCATCGT